ATGCAAGTACCGAGAACAAGCACCCCAGCTGGAACTTTCAGTTACATGGAGCAATGGATTCCAGTTGGGGTTTCACAGGCAGTTTAAGTTGGATGCTTGTTGTTTGCACCTGAATAAAATGGGACCAAGAAACTGGATATCGCCTCGCCAGCACAGAACTAAAGAAAAAAACACACTTGCAATTACAGTCAGGTGGCTTTGCTGTCTCCAAGGAGCCTGTGTTTGTGGAGGGGAGGAGGGAGACTGCCTACTGTGTCTGAAATTCTGACCAGGATGGTCACTTCTTTAATTAGTTTAACCATATGCTACCAAGTGCTAATTTAGGTAGTCCTTCCTCACTGCCTAAAAAGAGATGCTTCTCAGAGCTACTACTAAAGGCCTCACAAGAAAAGAGCAGATTGGGGAGGTGGCATTTCCTCTTTCATCTCAGCTGTGCTTGTCCATCAAAGGTTCTCCCCTTGTACTCAGCCACATGCCTCTCTGGAGCCATGCTATTCATCTGCCCGACAAAAGGCGACTCAACTGAAGACTGAAGGGGAGACCACTGTACCCAAATCACAGTAGCATGAACTAGTGGAACACAGGTGCCAAGGACTGGAGAGGAGGGGTTTAAGAAGGTAGTACCACATTTTTATTTCTTTCATGTCAACCGGATCAACCCCTGTCACAGTTTCTGGGGAGTCCCTATGAAACTGAATCTTCCTTTCCAGGAGTCACCCGTGGGTCCCACAATGATTCCTGGGAAGGCACAAGGCAAAGGCAGATCCAGCCCAGACAGACTGTGTTTAACATAGGTAGTGTTACCACCTACAGTATTACTAATCTTGTATCCATTACCATCAATTAAAAAGGGAAAGGCTAGTGGAACAGACAGTAACAGCCTCCAATCAGGAAGTCCACGCCCCCCTCTACCAGGCACTTGTTGAGTCCACATGGCACTGGGCAGGGCCACATGGCTTGCTTTGGCCAATGTGGTAATAACCAATATGACCATGGCAGAGAGTTCAAAAGCACCTAGGCACTGGCCTTGCCCTCATGCTGCTCTCCTAACTCTGAGAAGGCTAAGCTGGTGGATGATGAGACTCAGAACCAGACATACATGTGATGCACACAGAGCCAACAATGAGCCAACCCTCGGAAGCAGAGCTGCCTTAGTGACCAACAGCCACGTCAGATGCATGAGTGAGCCCACTCACACTGCCCACCCTGCAAAACAGGGCACTGAGCAAATGGTGCTCGTCTTAAGTCAAACTTTTGGATGAATTATTTTTTATGCAGGAAAATGTATATTTCCAAATAAAACTAGGACTAAGTGTGGTGGTGCATGCCTACAATCCGAGCTCCCAGGAGGTGTAGATGAGAAGGATTTAGGTTCGAAGCCAACATGGGCAAAAAAGTTAGCAAGACCCCATCTCAAAACATAAGCTGGGCATAGTGGTGCACACCTAACTGCAGCTATGCAGGAGACAGAGGTAGGAGGACTGCGGTCTGAGGTCAGCCCCAGACAAATGCGCAAGACTATCCAAAAAATAACTAAAGCAAAAAAGGCTGAGGTTGTGGCTCCAGTGGTAGAGAGCCTGCCTGGCAACCATGAGACCCTGAGTTCAAACCCCAGTACCACCAAAAAAATAAATAAAATAACATCTAAAGAGCTGACAAGACTAGGCCCACTCTCCTACTCGACCTCACTTATTTGTCATCTTACTCCTGCTGGGGTCAACTCAGTCCCTTTTGTCATGTCGGTTGGGGGTTGGTAAAGAAAGTGAAATACAGAGAATGATAGAGGTTAATTTAATCAGGATACACTGGGAGCACATGGAAGTGTCGAAACTAATATATGGTAATTCAAGTTTTTAAAAACTAAAAGAAATTCACTATAACAAAAAAAGTGAAATCCTGCAGTCCACATACTCAAAAGTGAAGCCATGGCAACCACTGGAAAACTCTGCTCCCTCCCAAGACTGACATCCATGCCTTATAAAGCAAACCCACTGCTGGGGGAATACCCAAAAAAGAAGTGCACACATGTCCAAAAGACATGCAGAATGTTCAGCGCAGCCCTACTGTCGGAAGCCCCCAACTGTCCACTGGTTACCTAGTTATCAACAATGTCCACCAAAAGTAGCACGAGTAACAGGGTAAATTCACAGGGGTCAGTCTCGTACATGCTGCTGTGCACATGCTGTGCAGCCAAAACACGCCAGAAGCCAGGTGAGCAGAGACCCCTGGAAGGGACGGCATGGGGAGGATGGCTCTGACAGCTGGTAGTGCTGCCCTGTGACCTGAGTGCAGGTCACCTGTATGTGTAGTGCTGTGCCGTGACTTGAGTGCGGGTCACCTGCATGTGTGATGCTGCCCTGATACCTTAATGCAGCTCACCTGCATGTGTAGCTCTTGAAGATGCCTGGAGCTAGGATGCTATGGTTCATACACTTCAAAGTGTGATTTTAAAAATCTTTGAAAAGTGGAAGAACAAAACCTCTTGCTTTCAAGACCTTCGGGTTTTTTCAAGGATTCCTACACTACCTGATATATCTAATTAATATCTAATGTCAGTTATCAAACCATTAAAAAAAAAAGAAAAAAAGAACTACAGTGAGCCTGATGGAGATGCACAACCTGGTGAGCTACGAAGGAAGGGATGGACTGTGTGACACCTGCCCTCCCTCACTTGCATGACCTGTCTGACCCCTGTGGGCTCTGGGTCCCACACCACTCACATAGAAACCCAAGCCTTCTATCAATGTTAGCATCATTCCTCCGACCAAAGATGCTGATGGGTTAACTGCCTTAAAAATGAAGCTACTAATATTCAGTTATCAAGAGGGGTTGAAAATGGCCCCTAGAGAGGGTTGTTGGGCAAACTGAAGAAGAGAACATCCCTGAACCCTTAAGACAGCACAAGGAGTAAGGAAGTAAGCACATGATGAATCACTAGTACTTTATTTACAGGTGTTACTGATGGTTGCAAAGTATTTTAAAAAATGAAAGGTGCCCCAAAGTTGGATGCTGCTCAGAGTAGACCCTACTAATACCTAATGTAGTGATTCTGAAGGGGCCAAAGAGTCCACCCAGCATGAATCCAGGGACAGATGGTAGAGTTTCCAACTACATGTGAAACTTGGATTCTGATGTCTCCTGGCTCCTCCCCTAGAAAGGTCCCTTCCTTTCCAGGACACCTGATTTACTTCTGCACTCTTTTTGTTATCAATTCTTACAAGTGTTAGGATCCAAAGGAAGCTATACAGTAGAGAACAGTATCTCAAACGTAAATCATCAAATTTGGGGCACCCCCTTCCCCCAGCAACTGATTCAGCAGCTCTGGGAAGGATCCAGAAGCTGCATTTTAACAAAACCTCAGGTGAGGACAACTCAAGTTTCACCTGATGAAATTTGGATTTCAAAACACATGAATCCAAATTCAATCCCCTAGGCTGGGCATGGTGGTGCATGCCTGTAACCCCAACTACTCTGGAGCAAGTGGCAGAAGGACCCAGAGTTCAAGGCCAGTCCAAGAAAATGTACTGAGGAGATCCATCTCAAATACAAAGAAACAAAAGCAAAATGATGGGGGCATAGCTCAACTGTAGAGTGCATGCCTATCATGTGCAAGTCCCTGGGTTCAATCCCCAGCACTGATGGGGGAAAAAAATCAGGCCAGGCATGATGGTTCACGTCTGTAATCCCAGCTACTCCAGAGGTGTAGTCGGGTCTCACTTTGAGGCAAGCACATGCAAAAAACTAGTAAGCCCCTAATCTCAACCAACAAAAAGCTGGGCACGGTGGTCTGCTATAAAAGAGGGAGAAGTAAATAGGAAGATGGTGGTCCAGACTGCCGGGGGAAAAAAAAACACAAGACCTTATTCAAAAAACAACTAAATCAAAAAAGGCTGGGGCATGGTTCAAGTGGTACAGCACCTGCAAACCAAGCATGAGGCTCTGAGTTCAAACTCTAGTGCTACAAGAAAAAAAAAGTTCAATTCCCAGAAATTTTCAGCCACGTAATCCTGGGAAGATCACAGATAATGTCTTTTGAGTCTCTTCTTTGTAAAAAAGAGAATTAATACCTACCTACAGAATTACTGTATTAGAATCAAGACAGAGTGCAAGACCAGACACTTGGTTTAAGAAAAACAAAAAACAAACCCTCAAAATAGAAGCTATTGATGTTTTTTGAATAAAACTTGCACGTTGCATAAAATTAGCCATTATTTCTCGAAACAACTTCCACTTGCAGAATGATTCCCGACTGTAAAGCTGTAAAAAGTTTCCTTCGGAGCATTATTTAAATCACATCCTACAGCCTGCTGTCTGGGAGTCATGGATCCAGGTCAGCTGACTTTGATTCTCCCAGCTTGGAGACGGGACTATTTTCATGCAGACAGGGCCTCCAGCTTCTCCAAGGGATCCGTGTCCCCAAAAGATACGAACCTCCATACTAAGGATACCCTGCAAATGATTCTTCCTTCTCTCCTTCCCCTCCCTTTAATTTTTTTCAAGTAATAAATGCACAGTTACAAAAACTAAACAATACAAATAGTGTACACAGAAAAGTGAAATTTAACGCCTTCTTATCCATTTTCTGGGCCTTCCTCTCAGTACAAATTTTTAAAAGTTTGGGTGTCCTTCTGGGGCAGGACTTCTCAAACTCACAGTGACACTTGAGGGGCTGCTGTTTTTCTGGGTCTGTCCTGCACATTGCTGGCGAACACGTGCGCCCCGTAGCGCGCATGCATACCCGCTGCCAACACCCCAAAACGTGCACAGGCGCCGCCAAGTCTGGGGGAGCGGGGAACAAAACAGCCGCCCCCCCCCCAGGTTGAGGAACACTGTTTCCAGAAACTCTGCATGGACAAACTTAGATGTGTGCACGTCTACTTCTTTCTTTCTTTTTTTTTTTTTTGCAATCGGTGGCCCCAGAGAAAGTTATCTTGCAACTCGGGGTAGGGGCGGGGCCGGCCGGGGCCCGGGCTCTGCATGGGGCGACGGCCGCCACTCACCAGGTCGCGGATGAGCTGGTCCACCAGCTGCTCCCCGCCCCCCGCGCCCTCGCGCACCGGCGGGGAGCGGGAACGGCTCGCCGCGTCCGGCCTCTCGGCCCGGCTCGCCCGCGCCGCCGGGGGCCGCCCCGCGCCCTCCAGGAGGCCCTGCGCCAGCGCCAGGTACCCCGAGGCCTGCTCGCCGCGCCCGGCCGCCACGTCCGGCCGCCGAGGCCGCCGCTCGGCCGTCTCGGGCCGCCGCCGCTTCCTCAGCGCCTGGGCCTGTGCCAGCTCCTCCTGCCAGCGCCGGCGGAACTCTTCCAGACCCTGCTCGTCCATCGTCAACCCCCCCACCTCCTCGTCCTCAGCCCGCCAGGTGCCACGGGGCAGTCCGTCTGCGGAAAGCGTCCGCCGCCGCGGCCGGAAACTGCTAGGACCGCCGCTTCTGGGTTCCGGGCGGGCGACACGCCCCCCCAGGCCACGCCCCTCGTCCGGCCTCTCACCTTTACTTGGGTTTTTGCACCAAGCTCTTTTCCTTCGTTCAACAAACTTGCATCGAACGACCACTCTGTGCCAGGCATTGAGAATTTAGCGTTTAAATGTGCAGGAAAAAAAAAATCCCTGCTTTCTTAAAATTTGCACTCAAGTAGGACGGATGTTATACAAATGAATATGAAAATTTGAATCCGTGGGAAGTGTTAGGAAATAAAAAAATAAGTAAGGCTAAGTAATAAAGTGATTGATTGATTGACAGCGCGAGTGAAGCAGGTTGGTGATCAAGGATAGTCGCGAAGGCCTCTCTAAGGAGCTGTCATTGAAACTGCGAGCTAGATAGGAAGATCAGGAGAGATTTCCAGAAGGAGATACTAGCCCAAGGCAGTAAGGTGGAAAACGAAGTGGCCTACGATGGCGTTCTGTCTTCAGGAGTCTTGAAGAGCACCTCGCCGGAGTGTCCACACCAAGAGATAAGAGCTCGAAGCATTTATCTGCTCACCATCATCCCCCATTGCAGAAAGGTTCAGCCTGATGTTTCCCCAACCGCCCCCAGGCTGGGTGTAAATGGGTTGGGGTGGATGTCCCATAGTCAGGCAGTGGAGATGGCCCAAGCTAAAAACCAAGAGATGCTCTGGGCAGCTGACAGGGGGAACTGCCAGGTTACCTGTGCACAGAGCCAGTTGCTACAGAAATATCTAAATATATCTAAATGTGTTTTATCCTGTACAGATTTTTTTTTTATGCACAGAAAAGGAGGTCTCAGTCCTCAGCAGCTGCTCTCCTCTTGGGAGTCAGGATATGTGGTTTAGTTCCTCTTCTTTCCTCTTGGTGCACACACGGGTCCCCACTATTTTCTCACTTTTTTTTTCCTTCCAGTTTTGGTAGGATTAGGGTTTGAGTTCAGAGCTTTGCACTTGCAAAGCAGGCCCTCACCCACTTGATCCACATCTGCAGTGTATCTGGTTATTTTGGAGATGGGGTCTCATGAACTACTGGCCCAGGTTGGCCTGGAACCTCATTCCTCCCGATCTCAGCCTCTCAAGTAGCTAGGATTACAGGTGTGAGCCACCAGCACCTGGCTAAGAAAATACTTTACCTTACCAAGACCTTTTTTGTTTTAGTTTTGTTTTGTTTTTGGAGATAGGGGTTTGAACTCAGGACCTGGTGCTTGCTAGGCAGGCGCTCTACCACTTGAGGCATACCCCAGCCCTCCCACCCTTTCCTTGAACTTGAAAACCCACTTGTCCTTGGAGTCCTTGAGCAGCTCCAAAGTATGCCACCTGTAAAGGACAAAGCTATACACCTCCCTGATCATGTCCCACGCGACCATGGCGTGTACCATGAGGCACCTGCGGCAGTGACTATACACTGGCTCGCTCATATTCTTGGTCACTTTGTGGCCCTTCTTGCCGCAGCCACAGCACAGCACAGAACTGTGACCTCTGCTCGTCAATGTCTTTTGCTAATTAAATATTCTTTTTGTAATAAAAATAGAAACAGCCAGGTGCCAGTGGTGCATGCCTGTAATCCTAGCTAGTCAGGAGGTAGAGATCAAGAGGATGGCAGTTGGAGGCTAGCCCAGGCAAATAGTTCGAGAATACCCAACACAAAAAAAGGCTGGCAGAGTGGCTCAAGTGGTAGAGTGCCTGCCTAGCATGTGTGAGGCCCTGAGTTCAAATCCCAGTATCACCAAAACAAATAAAAAGAAACAAACAAAAAAAACCCAGCAGTTATTTTTCCCCAAGCATTCAGCTAAACTCTTGCTTCTATGCCTTCCATATGAAACCCAACAATGGACCAGACTTGCTCTACTTGTAAGTCTCAAACCAAATATGGTTCTTCTGATATCGGTAGAATTTATAAAATATCTAATATTTAAAACACAAAGCAAACTAGAATCGTTTAAACATCAAATTCTGCTGGTCAAGTTCAATGTTTCCTCTTAAAAGAGTTTTCACAGGGGCAGTGCAAGCAGGCAGATGTGGCCATTAGTCACTCAGAGAAAATGGAGGAAAACAAAAAAAGAAACATGCAGAGAGGTAGGAAAATAGCTCCTTCTTCAGTGTTGTCTCCCATTCACTCTGTTTACATAGATTTTATTTCTTTCCTGGCCTTCATTTCCTTAAATGAAAAGTAAAGGTAAATATGCCTTTCCTTCAGTGTGACTGAAAGGCTGAGAAAATTGTAGCATCCATAAGGCACAAAGTAGGCATTCAAGAAAGGCTGGACCAAGCATGGTGGTGCACACCTGTAATCCCAGCACTCGGGAGGCTGAGTCAGAGGATCCCAAGTTCCAGGCCAGCCTGGGCTACACAGCAAGATCTTGCCTCAAAAACACACACAAAAAAAAAGAAAGAAAAAAGGAAAGTGATCTATAATAACAGAGTCTTCAAGATGGAGGTCGTGTCCAGCTTGTCCTACTGTCTGTGCTCCACGGGCCCCACCTTTTTCTACATCCAGAATATTTCTTGGACAGTAAGTTCTTTGGCTGCCAGCAACAGACACCAAGGCTTACAACCTGAAGCAACTAGGAATTGCACTTAGAGTATGACTCACAAGTTGTACAGTAAGACCCTCGGATTATCAGATCCTCGGAAGGCCAAGCCCTAGGTCGGGATTTCATCATGGAAACTCAGGAGGAACTGTCTGTGCAGGATGAGCTTGCAGCCTGTCTTCCACCTTCTGGGATTCAAGTTCCCTGAGCACAGAGTCTCAGAGTCCAAGCAACACCTGGGAACTCCACTGGAGTGCAAATTCTCATGCAGACAGGTAAAGCAGAAACTCAGCAGTGCAGCCCATCGATCTGTGTTTTAACAACTCCTCTGGGTGATTCTGATGCATGCTGCAGTTTGAAAACACTCTCTCAGGGGACTCTCTGAGTGGCCTAAAGGACTCACATTCCCAGCCCTTGATTGAGAGGTAGAGAAAGTAGTGATAAGCTGGATTTCCAGAAGCACACAGACAAACAGAGTTGTAAAACATCTACAAGCTATCATAGGAGCAGGACTCTGAGAATTCAGTCTTAGTGTTCCCCTGCCACCAGGCCCTTCTCTGCCTGTTGTCTACATGTTACCCTTGGCGACCCAGTTTGTCTCCTGCTGAAGCCCCAGAAAGAAGTATGACCCTCATACTTCTCCCAAGTTCCCTCTGTCCCACCATATTCCTCAGACCAATCACAGGCTGGACTGCAGAGGCGCAAGAACTTCCTTATTTCGGGGTTCAGGTAGAGCTCAAAAAGGCAGTGAAGGTAGGGATAAGATCAGAGACCATGAACTTGTTTGTTCTCCCACCCAAGGTAAGAAAGTATATCCATCTCCTTTTGCTGCTGTAACAAATTAAGTGACTTTAAAAAACATGCAAATGTTTTGCAATTCTGTGTGCCAGAAGTCCAAAATCAGTTTTGATGGGCTACAGTCAAGGTGCTGGCAGGGCAGTGCTCCCTCCACAGGCTCTACTGGAGAATCTGCTTCATCCAATTTCTAGCAACCTTTGCTTGCATTCCTTGGCTTGTAGCCCCATCCCTCCACCTTCAAAGCCAGCATCCAAGCATCTTGCTTCATCCCTCACACTATCTTCTGTGTCCCTCTTACATGGAGACTTGTGCTCATTCATGACCCACCTGGTCATCCGGGACAACCTCCTCATCTCAACACATGTCATTCAGTCACATCTGTAAAATCCATTTTACCCTCTATGTTAGCATTCACAGGCATTTGGACCTGGGTATCTTTGAGGACTGTGATTCAGCCTATCACAGAAAGGCAGGCTCAGATACCTACAGATGACCCCAGTAAACAAAAGTGGAGCAAGTGGGCCAGGTGTGGACTGCAGCAAAGTAGAGAAGGCATGCCCATCTGGAGTGGGAGGCCAGTACTATGATCTCCTCACCCCAACTGCTGGATCTTACCCTGGATCTTGAAAAAAATAGGTAGATAGATAGAGAGAGAGAGAGAGAGGGAGCTATATACATCTTGCTTTTTAAGCAAAATTAGCAACAAATTCCATTCTTTAAAGAATAAAGATTTAAAAAGCAGATGTTGCATTCAGTAGCCCAATAGAAATTCATACTTGAACGACCCCTGAATTGGGTTAAAACTCCCATTATCTAGCTGGGTATGGTGTCTGACATCTGTAATCCTAGCTACTCAGAAGGTGGAGATCAGGAGGATAGCAATTCCAGGCCAACCTGGGCAAAAAGTTAGTGAGACCCCATCTCAAGTAATAGCTGGGTGTGGTGGTTCACACTTGCACATTCATTATCCCAGCTACATGGGAAGCATAAATAGAAGGATAATGGTCCAACCAGAGCAAAAAAGTCAAAACCCTATCCCCAAAATAACTAAAGCAAAATGGACTGGGCTGTGGCTCAAGTGGTAGAGCACCTGCCTAGCGAGTGCAAACCCTGATGTTCAACCCTCAGCACCATTCCTACCATAATAAACAAATAAATAAACTCCCCCCATAATAAACAAATAAATAAACTCCCACCATGTTACAATGGCACGTCCTTAGCTCTCATCAGCAGGACTGGAGAATCACCTCTTATTTGGGGTCGCTGACAGTTGATGAACACCAGGAGATTAACCTGCAAATGAGCGTGAGAAATATGGTGCCTCCACGTGGTGTAGCAACCTGAACAAAATCCTTCACGTGGTAGGAGCATCACTCTGGGGTGCTCGTTGCTATAAACACCATTGCTGTTTGTTCGTTTGTGCTTTCTTATAATATGAAATTCTATGAACCAAAAAAAAAAATAGTGGGGCTTGGATAAAGGTTATCTGTGGCAAGAAACAGTTTGCCATTACTGATTCCACTTTTTAAAAATGCTGCACAGACGGAATTCAGTGTCAGCTGCCACTTGCAGACTTAGTCATTGAGAAGGAGTGTGTTCCGTATGGATGCACTCCCTCCTCACCCCTCTGATTCTCTCTCAACCCCCTCTGCTTTTATCAAAGCCTTCTTGCTTTTAATCTCCTCAGACTGGTCCCAAAGCCCCTTCCTCTGAAGAACACATCTGTCCCTTGTACATGTCTTGAGATTTCAGCTCCAGCCTGATGCTCCCTGGAAAAGGTGTGGCTGTGGTCCACGGGAAGGATGCTTGCCCTCCAGCACAGCCTCAGGACACCAGGGTTCATTTCCTCACCTGCCCACTTATGCAATGCACCAAGGCAAGGGCGCAGAGCCCCCCCAATCTGAGGTCATGCTAAGATGCTCTTGTTAGCATGACTTTGACCTTGACTCCTAGGAAACAAGAGTCCCAATGTTATTTGTTACATTTCAAACCATCTCTATTATCTTAGGACTTTGAAACCCCAACCAAGTTTTTCCCATCTTAGAAAATGATGTTGTTAGCTCACTGCTTCAGGCAGAAGTCTAAATTCTTCTCTCTCTCACCTCACATCCACAAAGTCTGACAATTCTATCTTCAAAATATATCTTGAGTCAGGTTTGGATGTTCATGCCTGTAAACCCAGCATACATGAGGCAGAAATAGGAGGATCACAGTCTGAGGCCAGCCTGGGCAAAAAATAAACTTAAAAAAAAAAAAAAAAGCAAAATGGCTGCAGGGCGCTGATGGTTCACACCTGCCATCCTAGCCACTCGGGAGGCAGAGAGCAGGAGGATCTCTGGTTCGAAGCCAGCCCCGGGCAAATAGTTCAAGAGACTCTGTCTAGAAAAATACCCAACACAAAACAAGGCTGGTGGAGTGGTTGAAGTGGTAGAGCACCTGCCTAGCAAGTGTGAGGCCCTGAGTTCAAACCCCAGTACCACCAAAAAGTAAATAGATAAAATGGTGTCATATTTGCATATGACACATTTTCCAGTCTACTTTGAATCATTACAGATTACTTATGAAACTTAATATAACATGAGTAGTTATTGTTTTGTGTTGTGTAGGGACTAAAGATAAGAAAGAAACATCTTTGTGCATGCTAAATGCAAATGCAATTAAAAAATTTTAATGATTTTATTCTGAGTACATATTTGTACACGAGGTTTCTTTTTTTTTTTTCATTTTTCTTTTATTATTCATATGTGCATACAAGGCTTGGTTCATTTCTCCCCCCTGCCCCCACCCCCTCCCTTACCACCCACTCCACCCCTCCCTCCCCCCCCAATACCCAGCAGAAACTATTTTGCCCTTATCTCTAATTTTGTTGTAGAGAGAGTATAAGCAATAATAGGAAGGAACAAGGGGTTTTGCTGGTTGAGATAAGGATAGCTATACAGGGCATTGACTCACATTGATTTCCTGTGCGTGGGTGTTACCTTCTAGGTTAATTCTTTTTGATCTAACCTTTTCTCTAGTACCTGTTCCCCTTTTCCTAT